GTCTATCTAAAATACAGATTGCTTTTAGTCAGAGCAGGCCACATTGCATGATGCTGTGGAAAGCCTAAAAGAAAAAAAGCTGCAGAATAATTTTTTTATCATAAGCTTGAGCCGACAAGTTCTTATAACTACTGTGATGTTTACAGGATCAGTGGGTACTGTTTCTTCTTACTACATGATCAAGAAATTTCCTCACTTCTCTGATTTAAACTTCAAGCCAGTTTCCTTCATCTGTGGAAATGCATTTCTTTTGTTACATATATCAGATGGCATGCATGAAATCCGTATAAGCTACTTTGAGTGTTAAATGCAGTTTTAAAACTTTCATCATCCAGTTCTACTTGTTAGTATTTGTATGTGTGGTTCACCATGTTAATGGACAACTTCTTCAACTGAGCATTCACATTTATAAATTAAAAGGAAAAGAAAATACGTGCTATATTTCATACACCACACTAGCATTACTGTTTATGAGAAAGACTACGAGGTCTCAACAGTTTAATCATACACCAGTAGAAGATGCTTAAAGTATTCTCATGCGAGAGTTCATAAATGTTACCAACAATAGTTTATGAAAGTATTTGACCAATCATATAATGATGTGATTTTTTTTTACTTATTTATTGTTTGTTAGTATTGTGTTGTACAATTAATGGATGAAAATATACTAAAGAATGTAAATAAAAGTACTGAGAAGGATTTTATGAATTACTATAAAAAAATTAACTGGTTTCAGAGTGTGGCATATAAGAAGTTAAAAATAAGCCTTGGTAGACAAATGACCATGTAGAGGTGTGAGTTGTAAATCTTTATGAATAATTTTAACATTTTAAAGGCTCAGTCTTCATTTCTAATTATTTTTGTAAAGTAAACTAAATAATTTAATTTTCACATTACAGAAAACAAGTTCAAAATTTTACACTTGAAAATAATTTATTATGGAATGTTAAGTTACTATTAATACTTTTTCTAGTGATTTTATATTATATTTTCTTTTTTATTGCTATGTAAAAAAGTTAAATGTTTGTGACCACTCTATAGGCAGAATGACATTTGTTTTATATAAGGAAAATGTTTAATGTCTTTTTTTTTTTAGTATATTATATTCATTTAGACCTATTCCTTTATTATTAGATCAAAAGTTTCTATTTCTAATACTTGCTATTGGAGAGCCTTTAGGCTTACTGTGTATAAGTGGAAACATTGCAAAGTTGCACCAGTTTGTATTTGTTCTTTTACTTCGGAAAGTTTTCAATCATTCATTGTGTTCTTCAAATATTTTGTAAGCTTCAACTATGAGAAGGGAAAGTTTGTTGACTGTGAACTGTGATTGGTTACTCAAAAGAGGAATGTGTTACAAAAAATGAGTTTCTTCATTTTAAGAATTGGTTAGAATATCCCACAAATAGAGATGGTTGGCTGGGAATTCAACAGAAGAATATAGATGGTTGAAAATTGTATAGAAGTGTATGAATGGTTGAGAATTATATAAAAAGGTATAGAAATTTCATTCAACCAGTAAATCCGTAGTGACAGTGCAAACCCATTGATTAATAAATTATTTATCTCAAGTGAAATTCTTTTTAGAATCCTAGATTATTACATTATGCTTCACTGAACAGTTTGAAAATCTACAGTAATGCTAGAGTATTATTTAAAGAAGAAGCAAATCAATGTATTAGTTTATAAACTTTGCAGAGCAGACTGGATGATTGAAACAATGTTTACAAAAAAAAAGGGTGACTAATCACACTCCAGAAGCAAATTAGTTTCAAAGTGAACATTGAATACATATTTTGTAACCAAACCTGTGCCAGAGAAACTAATGAGTGAGGAAACATTTGACAAAATATAAAAAATATCTACAACATACCTGTAATTGCTATGCAGGACTTGAAAGCACCAAGTCATCACTACTGGGACCTTCACTAACTGTTGAGGTAGGTGCCTTACCTGTGTAATGTTGTATATTAAATATAGCCTAAGTATTTACTGCTTGAGTAGGCAGTACACAGGTTATTTATTTAAATATTTAAGCCTGTGTATAATCCAACTTTGATATGAAGAACTGTGTAGATTTTTCTTGATAGTGCACAAATTTGAAGAAACTCTAACTCAACCATAAGTTTAACAGGGAAAGTAACCATTGGACCAATTAATATTTTAAAAATAATATATTCTTTCTGGTGATAGTATACACATTGAACCTTGTTCTTTTTCCATTTTGAATATGTAAAGAAAACTAGTGGGTATTTGAAATTTTTTTGCCTATATATATCCTATCATCAAATTTAAACCATATTTGAAACACATTCTTCTAATGGATACCTTGAATTTCTTAATCCTCCATTGTTATTCATTTAAAATGGGGACCAATTTAGCCTTATTCAAGTATTTCTCCTTGCTCTTATGAATAAATATATTTATAACAAGTAATTACAATAAGGTTTTGCTAGTGGATATAAATTGTTGTCCTTGTTAGTAACATATATCATTACCTAAGTCTAAAGTTAATTATTAATTAGACTTAGGTAATTATATAGGCTTGTAAACATAACAAAAGTTTAAAAATTGGGATACTTTGCCATATGAGATAAATATAACATTATTATGATGGCTACCTTTATTTACAATGAATGTAAGCCTGATTGAGTGGTGAAATAGCTATACATCAGTGAAAAACCAACAAATGATTTCAAAATTTGTTTTCATAGTCTTTTTCTGAAGGAAGGGAGAGTGAAGGCTAAAATTGTAAGGATTTTTTTTTTTTTCTTATCCCATCATATGACATAGTTTTAGCATCACATGCACTTTACTACAACAGCATTTAAAACAACTAGTCACCAAACTATTCATACTGCTACACACACATTGTGAACTTTGTTAGTGTAATGTCATTCCAGGAATGTATAGAGAAATTGTAACAGCTCTGTATTCAATTGCACATCATTAAGTTTTACCAAAAACAATTTTAATGAAAACTTTTCATAAATAATACTTTTTTTTATTTTACTTCCTTCATGATTTTTGTCTGTAAAATTCCATCTTGAATCAGGAGTACAAATTGATGCAAAGTCTTCTCAAGAGAAGATAGACAAAGCAGATTTATTGACAGTGATGCTCGATAAAATGGTTGATGTGAAAGGAAGTTTATAATAAAAACTTTAAACTCGAACTAAATAGACTGGCGAGCTTCTTTTAAATATATAATGGAAAATAAAACTTCTCCAAATAGTAGCCTATATGTTTGGACCCAAAGTACAGAGGCCAAGACTTTGAGGAAGATGAGACACTGAAGCCATGAACATGATTATGAAGGTAGTTCAACACGTTCTCACCATGTATTCAGCCTGAATCACACAAAAACACAGAACTGAACGGAAATCATAAAGATTGGAAATTCCTAGAAGCCAGCTAGTAACACTGCACTTGTTATATGTAGAAAAGGCTTTGTGATATCTTACATTTCTTGTTGTGTATTAGAAACTAGCTGAGTTACCTGGTGTTGCACAGTGAAAATTTAGATTTGAAATGTATAAATTATTCAGTCAGTAGACAAAAGCTGTGATGCGAGAAATAAAAAAAGCATTTAATCAAACAAAGCTTTTTTTGAAATTAGATCGTGTTTGAGCTTGTCTTGTTCTTTGAGTCTGAAGTCGTACATCATGTTGCTCCTCTGTTTCTTGCTCTCTTAATTTTTGTGCTTAAAGTCTGGTTTGATGTTCAAAAGTTTGTTGTTGTCTATATCCAGCTTGCCTTGATGATTCTGACTGAACTCTGGCTTTGTGCTGTTCAACAGTTTCTTGTTGTCTTTCAGTAGCCTGTCTTGCAGCTTGAGCTCGAAGTCTAACTTTACGTTGTTCCAAAGTATCTTCCTGTATTTGAGCA